ACGGTTCATTAGGTTTTTTCAGTAAGCTCAGCTTCGTCGTAACTACTGATATGCCGATCTTGCTTCAGATTCTCAAAACTGGCATCCATTTTATTCATAACAGATCTACTGGAGCGAAGTACACCTTTAACATCAAAATTTCCGGGCTGAAAACGCTTAAACCAAATTTGTGCTACTCGCACAGAAACTGCACTAGGTTCATAAACGTCAAAAAACTTTTTCGCGGCTTACGTTGCATTTTTACCTTTTTATAATAAAATTTTAAAATGTATCTAAGTTCTTTATTAGATTTACTCATTTTGACAGTAAGAAAAAACAAATTAAAATTACACATTTTCCTAATTTGAATTCGAAGTCTTCTTTAAAATTTAAACTTTTTAATGATACCGAAACCAGCCATATAGAAATGGTATAGCCAGAAAAAAATTATTACAACTTTATGCATACTATATGCGAAAAGACTTTTTCCCCAACCTAACAGTTATCATGCATAGAAATTATTTTATTGATATTATTCCCAGTTAGACGCAATCGTTTAGCCGTTTTAGTAAGGCCAGCTACAGAGACGGTTTAGCTAGAGTAGACATATAAGGGTAAATCATGTAGACGAGTGCTACATTAATTGTACAATTTTGTTGACAGCTGTAATTAAAGAAGAAAGGTTCGATTGTTTATTTGTTTGCATGATTGACTTTACTACGTTGCTTAGCAACCGAGCGAACGAAAGTTACTCGCAGTTCGTGCCATACCGCGCCGTTTACGCCGATCTTTCTAACCGGTCAGCGGCGGCGTGTCATGATCGGCGGCGTCGGTCATCGGCGCGGCGCGGCGCACACGTCTAATAAGGTGCTAAGTTTCTTGGCCTTTTGTGTTCAGCATGCCCAGCGGTGCGATACGGATGGGTGGGTATATATTTACAAAACTGTTTGAACGAGAAAAAAAATATCTTTAAGAAGAGCTAAAAATAATTATGACATGATAATAACACTGCCTGTTAGTTTAAAATCGGAATATTCATGGTGGATTAATAATATAATGCAAGCAAAAAACTATATTCGTGATAACCATTTTGACATAGTAATTTCATCAGACGCATCCTTGACAGGTTGGGGGACATTATGCAATGGTGAACAAACTGGTAAATAATATTTCACATATAAATCTGTTAGAACTTAAAGCGGCCTTTATGAGGCTTTAATGTTTTGCTAAGGATTTAAGTCAAAAGAAAATACTTTTGCGGATAGATAATACTACAGCAATATGCTATATTAACAAATATGGTGGTATTCAATACCCTCATTTTTATAAAGTAAAGCGGGACATTTGGCAGTGGTGTGAAAAAAGACAATTGTATATATTTGCATCATGTATCAAATCAAAAGATAATGTTTTAGCAGACAAAGAATCGCGGCGCAATAATATTGATAATGAGATTTCTTTAATTGACGTTTCAGTAAACCTGAAATTGACCTTTTCGCAACTAAAATTAATGCCAAATGTCGTAGGTATATATCCTAGCAAAAATCCCGATGCGTTTAATATTGATGCATTTACCATAGACTGGCAGGAATATTTCTTTTAAGCTTTCCTTCCGTTCTCTCTCATATTAAAATGTTTACGGAAAATAGTTACTGACAAAGTTATGTGTATAATTGTAGTTCTTTACTGGCCAAGTCAACCATGGTATCCTTTGTTCCTTAAATTAGCTCAGAATCTACCAGTATATCTGGAACCTGAACCTAATCTGTTACTATCTCTTTTCAGAATACGGCATCCGTTATGGTACCGTCTTCCTCTGGTGTCATCCCATTTATCAAGGAAGCTTACTCCAGAAAATCTTTAAATCCAGACGCAATAGATATTATAATAGCCTCTTTGGCAAATAATTTACTAAAACAATATAATAGCGCTTTTAAAAAATGGTGGAAATTTTGTATGAACAAAAATATTGATTGCTTTGATCCAAATATTTCTTTAATTCTTGAATTTTTGATTTAGAATTTAAACTGGATGCTAGTTATTCAACTTTAAATACTTTACGGTCAGCATTGGCTCTGATAATGGGTAAAAATATTAGGGTGTAATGAGTAAAAAATGACCGCGTCATGCGCTTTCTTAAGGAAGTCTTCAAAATGAACCATCTTACCCGAGGTACCAATCAACTTGGAATCCTATCCTTGTTTTAGGATTGGGCACATGGTACCTTAATGAAACTTTACCTTTGAAAAAACTTACCAAAAAACTAGTAGTTTTGCTTGCATTGGCGACCGCTCACCGAGTACAGATGCTGTCATTAATTCGTTTATCCAACATCAGAGTCACTGAGGGCGCTGTTGAAATAACTATCACAGATGTAATTAAAACTACTTCACCTGGCCGTACATTACCGAAACTGACAATTCCCATCTAGTAATGCTTTTATTGACGACGAAAATTCAACAGAAGAACAAGAGTCTGGTCCAATTGGTACTGATTCAGGTGACGATTTCAAGCCCCCGTCTAGTTAAATAGTTCCTTCAGTTCATGTAGATTAAGAACCAACATCATCAAAAAGGGGGAAGAACACGTACACGTAATTCTAATACGAAAAATTAAGTAATTTCCGTAATGAATATCAATCAATTAAAACTGGCAAAACAGTTCAGACTAGAAAAATTGGTCTCTCTTGTTCAGATATGTGTCGGCTGGTTTGCTCATCTATTTACCCAAGAAAAAAGAATACAAATATTAAATTATCTAAACAGCATAGAAAGACACCGTGATTTTTTTAATTCCAGCATCAGATCACACGAATTGCAAGCCGGCGTATAAAAACGAATCGTCGTCACCCGACATAAGGTACATCTGCATTTTATTTATTCAATGATGGTCAGTCAGTCGGAGTATTTAAAACATTTTTAATCAACACCTTGTGTATTTCACCAAGAAAAACTCAATGACGGTATCATTCTCAAAGACCACCGAAGTCTCCTAGGTGTCAGGATACAATAGGAAAGGTAATTTTTTTCTTTAAGAGCTCTTTAATAACCATGTCAATATTTTATAAGGAAAATGAAACCCCGCTTTGGAACACCTCTATGGATGTGAAAAGGATATAAACACCAGGGATTGTTTGGTTATTGGGAGGCCAGGTAGTTGTTATCAATGTCACCAAATACAGAGTTGAAATTATTTTAAGCAAATCTCTTATTTTTTGAAGTGTGATCAAGACATGGACTAGTGGATAACGAATCGGAAGTGCAGTCCATTCTGTCACATTCAAAACTGGTGTCTTGCTGTGTAGCGAGATACACGTTCACTAGTCCCTACATCAAACGTAATGAACTCATAGCATTTACAACCGACATCATCACAATACTGAAGGTTTTTTGTAGTTATAATATTATGATCCAGAACCAGGGGGTTTCTTTATTTCAACGTGTTTGCCATCTATAACACCGATTACATGAGGAGCGTTCTACTGACTCGCAAATTCATTGGCAACTCGTTTCCATTCTTCCGTAGTTTGTGGTAGCTGAAAATAAAATATCATATATATTTATTTTTTCCAGAAGAATACTAATACCTATAAAGGGGACCATGTACCTATCCTATGCAGATTCGAAGATACTTGCGAACTTGATGATAACTTTATGCAATTAGTAGGTAACCACCTTAGAGAGAAACCGGATGAATATCAGAACTGGGCTTTGGCTTGTGACGCAGATTTAAAAAAAATAGCCAATGCAACAGATCATTATTAATAATGCTATTACTGCCATTATCATGGAAGGACAATTAGGTCTTTTACATCGCAATTCGGTAAAAATAAATACTCCAATAATGACAATAACTCCATCTTCTAAATATACCAAATCCACATCAACTCCAACAAAGTACAGCAGTACGCTATCGTCTCGGTATTTTATAAACTATTATTCTACCTTATTCTCCTTCGCGACTTTCTGGGGATTTTATTAATAGAAATAATAATATCGTTAATTTTTTACAGACACTGATTCAGAAACGAACACACTTGCTGCGCTGTTGCTGATCCCTCATCTCATTGGACCAATCCACATCAAAAAGAAAAAGTGCTCTATTGCAGAAATACGCGATAGTTTCATATAACATATATAAGACGATAAACAGCTCACTGAAGAATGCAATAATATTCGCGACAAAAAGCGGGAACTTGGTATGACTGTCCAGCCATATGTTATTGTTGCAGGACCATTGAGTAAAATTACCAATAGGTATTGTATTGTTGATGACATAATTTTTGTACTGCCAAGCGTAGGGAAAGCAGTAGACACATGCTTCAAAGTAATTTGGGCACTGAATTTACAATACCCTGCGGAATGTTTGCCAGTGTAGCAATTTTTGGAGAAAGCTATTTACAAAATTTCTGTAGAAGAAATTGGTTATAAGGAAAAAGTACCTACCTCTGTTTTGAGTTTGCTTACTGACTGCGGTCTCGACTAAAATTAACATGGTTGTATGTTTTTTGTGTACTAAAGACTCCTTAGACTTAAGAGCGTTAAGAGTTCATTTCCAAGTTTTTCATAGTGATCACTTTTTTAAAGAATATCTTTGCGCTGAGAGTGGTATTTCTAGGTCGTATCATCTATTTAATTCCTATCGCAGACATCATGTTAAAAACCAGCAATGCAAAAATAAATTTAAACATTCATTTACAACAAATACAACTTTGTCTGAAAACAATACCCATTCTTCGCCTTCGTCTACTTCGAAATTTCTTAATTTGACTAATGAAGTATCTAAGTTGACAGTCACAGTACTGCAACATTATGCTCAGTTGTCTAATATTCCTCCTACTGCAGCTGTAGCATCATAAGTCGCGACACTATATGGATCCTCAAGTTTGCCTAGAAACATCGTCCAGGTATTCATCGAAAAAGCTCAGAACATATTGACACGTTCTTTTGTGCCGTTGGTTACCGATGTGCTACAAGAAATGGCTAATGATGGAGGAATTTCTTTTAATACTTCTTATATACCAAATTTGGAAAAAATTTAAATACCGCAGTCATCACAACTTTTAGCAAATTTTCTACAGAACATCGGCGTTTTCTCTTCTTTGAGCACCTCCAAACTTATATTCCACCTAAATCAATAATAGTATGTGAGAGCCGAGCGATGATAACAGGTGATAGCAGGCAAACAGCATTGTCACTTAATCGTTACATGAAATTTATTCCTCTTAGAGATGTTTTGAAAGCTTTTTTTTTTAAAGAAAGTATTGGAAATCAAAACACAAATATCTTGACATGTTTTATATTGTGAATTATTTTTAAATTAAAAATTTCAATTATATATTAATTGTGCAGTTATTCTTGGCCATTGTTCGTCAGTTGTGCCAACGATTTATCCACGTGAATATATTCATAAATATTATAAAATTTGAAATCTTCACTATACACTAATAGTGATTAGAGTTATCCTTGTATTGTATTGGCTCTATATTCATATTTAAGTAAATAGTGAGTAAGATGGAATCTTCACACGTTTTTTGTGTGACTTGCAACCGAGATATTTATGACAAAACTGTAAAATTTACAACAAATACTTTGGAGAAAAACAAATCCGTATTAAAAATTAGAAAAAAACATAATTTAAAATTTAATGACATTTCTTTGCCAGAGGAAGTTAATGAAAATACAGGTTATCTTGTGAAGTGTTATAAAAACTTTCTTGCTGTTATTAAAAAATATCGCGAGAACGAACCATCGACTTCATCTATTTATATTACTATTTATATTACGATATTTTTTATGAACTTATATATTCTTTATTAAAGCACCAGGACCAGACGGAATAAGCAATGAAATACTCAAACAAGTGAAAGAGAAAATAACTCCTATTCTTACAGAAATTATCAACCACATTGTAAAAACTGAAATTATTCCACAGCAGTGGTCTCAATCTAACATAATTCTTCTGTACAAAAAAGGAGATCAATATGATATCGGAAACTACCGGCCCATAAGTTTGATGTCTAACTTGTACAAAATATTTGCAAAGTGCATACTCAGGAGTATGGAAAAGAAACTCGATGAGCAACAGCCAATAGAACAAGCAGGTTTTAGAAAGGACTACTCAGTACTTGATCATATTCATGTTATTAGGCAAATCATTGAGAAATATGGAGAATATCAACTTATATGTTATTTAGCATCTATCGACAATATATTAAGAGAACAAGGGATTGAACAAATATACGAGGGTGGATTGAAAAGTTCGCGGCCTAACACATAAATACTTAAACTATTTTAATGTAACTGACCTCATTCGATAAGTTTACTCTCTGGTTGTCAAATTGTAAAATTCTATCGCAATAGCATTAACTGTGTTTAAATAAGACTGAATTTTGTGAGCCTTTGTGCAGCATTTTTAAAGAATGGAGAAAATTAAGCAACGTGCGGTCGTCAAATACCTGTTTAAAAAAAAACTAACTCCAAAAGAGATTCACGAAGATATGTCAACAACATTGGGGGAATCTGCTCCGTCGTATACGACTGTGAAAAAGTGGGTTGCTGAATTTAAACGCGGACGAGAGAGTATTGAAGATGACCCTCGCTCTGGCCGGCCTATGGCGTCTACGACTGAAGAAATCATCTGTGATCTGATATTGACAGATCGGATATTGACCATCAGGGAGATTGCAGACATTATTAGCATCTCGTATGAAAGAACACAAAACATCATAGTCAATGAACTTGGATTTTCTAAGGTTTCTGCGCGGTGGGTACCCAGATTGTTTTCAGTCGAACAAAAACGAATACGCCTCACGATTTCTCGCGACTATTTGAGGCTGATCCACAAGATTTTTTATCCAGAATTATAACAATGGATGAAACTTGGGTACACTACTACACCCCAGAGTCAAAACAGCAATCCAAGCAGTGGAAAAAACGTGACGAACCAGCTCCAAAAAAAGCCAAAACAATTTTGTCAGCTGGCAAGGTGATGGCTTCAGTTTTTTGGGATGCTAAGTGTGTCATCATGGTGGACTACTTTACAAAAGGTGTAACTATAAACTCGGCTTATTACTGTACCCTCTTACGTCGCTTGCACGAAACTATCAAACAGAAAAGGCCAGGATTACTCAGCAAAAAGTGTTGTTCCATCAGGATAATGCAAACATTCACACGTCTGTTGAATCTATGGCTCAAATTCGTGATCGTGGCTTTGAATTACTGCCCCATCCCGCCTATTCCCCTGATTTGGCACCTTCAGACTTTCATTTATTCCCAAACCGAAAAATCGAAAGAAGGATAGCAAACAGTTGGAAAAGATATTGGGGTCTAAAAAAAGTAATGAGGGACAAAAATATACACATAACAATAAAAACTAAAGTATTTAATATCTGCATCTTACCAATTCTGACAAATGGAAGCCAAACTTGGGCCATAACAGAAAAACACGATCAACAAAATTGCCGTTTGCCAGCAGGCAATGGAAAGAAAGCATGTTGGGGGTAAAGAGAAGGGATAGAATAAGAAACGTCAATATAAGGAAAAATACCAAAACACAAGATGTAACTCTAAAATTTAAAAGGCAGAAATGGAAATGGACGGGACACATGATCAGGGGAAAGGACAAGGAGTAAAAAGATGACACAATGGTTTCCAAGAGAAGGCAAAAGAAAAAGGGGTAGACAACAGAAAAGGTGAGACGATGATATCAGGCAGGTTGCCGGCATAACGTGAATATATAACATATGGGCATAACGCTAGAGAGACTCTATAAATGTTAAAGTGAATCTTTTTGTATCAGAACTCACAAAGTTGTACGATTTGCATGCCCCTCGTCGACCTGTAAAAATGAAGCAACGACCTTCTCCTTGGCTGACATTAAACGTCTGTCAGAGCATAAGGCTGCTGCCAAGACCAAGTACAAATGCAGGCCCTCACCCTCCAACTGGGAAAAGTATGTCAAAGTTTGTAATCGATGCAATAAGGTGTGTGGGAATGCACAACGCCAATTTATTCACAGCTCCGTTGAAGTCAAAGATCCAGCAAAAGTCTGGAAATTTCTAAGATCTCTGGGCATAGGAAAACATGGTCAAGCTTCTTCCTCTAGTGAGTAAGATATTAATTTACTTAATAAATATTTTTCCTCTTCACAAAGCTGCGACCCATTGAGCAAAGCCGACACTTTGAATTATATTTCATCTTTTCCATGCCCAGACTACCCACATTTTTCATTTCGTCAATTTACTGACTGTGATTTTAAGAAGAGCATTATGTCAATATTATCCAGTACTGTGGGTGAAGACTCTATCAGCAAGAAAATGATTATCCCTATCCTAGACGAAATTCTTCCCATTTTGTCTCATATCTTTAACCAATCCATAAGCATGGGTGAATTTCCCTCTATCTGGAAAGACGCCAACCCCATTACCTAAAAAATCCAAACCACTATCCTTTTCAGACTATAGGCCTATTTCCATACTACCATTCCTTTCGAAAGTCTTAGAACGGCTTATTCACAATCAGCTGTCCACATTCCATTTCAAACATCAAGTCCTAAACCGTTATCAATCCGGCTTCCGTGCTGGTCATAGCACAACCACTGCACTGGTAAATGTCACCAATGATATAAGGTCAGGTATGGAACATGGAAAAGTAACGGTTCTCTCATTACTCGATTTTAGCAACGCATTTAATACCGTTGACTTTGACATTCTGCTTGGCACATTACGCTCGATTAACATATCTCCAGCAGTAATTGACTGGTTTCGTAGTTACCTGTCTGGACGCCGTCAGATATTATTCCATATTTCAGCTGGGGTACCACAGGATGGCGTTCTATCTCCATTACTTTTCGCTATATTTATCAACTCTATTTCACGCCAGTTAGTTTCATCCTACCAACTTTACGCTGATGATTTTCAACTTTATTCCCAAGCTTGTCCTGACCAACTATCTTTTGCGATCAATGCTCTGAACCGTGACTTAGAGACAATTTGTGATTGGAGTAAGTCCTACGGCATAAAAGTAAATGCTTTGAAAACCCAAGCCATTATTGTTGGCAGCCCTGCAATGACAAATAAAATTAAGTGGTCGTGTTTACCTGCAATAATGTTTGGTATAATCATAGACAAAAACTTGAAATGGGGACCTCAGGTCGAGCAAACGAGTCATAAAATCATTGCTGCAGCTGGCTCCTTGAAGAGGCTGCGTAACTTCTTACCAGTGGCCACTAAAATTGCGCTCGCACAATCCCTTCTTCTTCCAATTCTGGATTACTCTGTTGTCAGCTATCTAGACTTAACTGAGGAGCAATTAAATAAACTTGAGAGACTTCAAAATTTTGGTATTAGATTCATATTTGGGTTACGCAAATATGATCATATATCTGATTTTCGCACTAAGCTCAAGTGGTTGCCAATTCGTCTTCGTCGGAATGCGCATATTGTTTCCCTGCTTTACAGTATTCTGTTCAATCCTTTCTCTCCAACTTATCTTAAGGAATGCTTCAAGTTCCTTCGCGATTCACACTCTCGCGCGTTGAGATCATCAGAGAGCTTAAAATTACAGATGCCGATGAATTCCACAAAATTCCTTCATAAGTCATTTGCAGTTCAGGCTGTTCGCTTGTGGAATGCATTGCCGGAAGAAATAATGTGCGCTCCATCACTGCACTGCTTTAAGAAGATGTTAAAAGAATATTATTTATCACTTCAAGTACAATACGTTTTCATCCTACTTCTATTCTATACGTATACTGTGTTTAGGTTCTGTTATATTTATTATTGTATTATTTTTTTTTTTGTGATTATACAACGTGTCCCAAAATTCAACGATAAGCGGGCGCCAAGAGGTAGACCTGATCATGTGTACTTATGGAAAAATAAGAAAAAAATTATATCTTATTAATCTTTTTTATTATAAAATTAAATTCGAAAATCTTCGAAAATTTACACCTTTTATGATATTTTCAACTACCACGACCACAACTTCTCAATTATGTTCAATCTTTTTTTGGTATCGGATACCTAAGTAGCACTACTATTCGCTACAACTCTTAAAAACACCAAAATGCCCGCAGTTTTTACACAAAAAACAATGAAAATGTATTTTTTCCTTAAATTTTCACAGATTTTTACGTTCCGTAATCTTTGACTTACGGTCTTGTAAAAAAAAGTATGGACACCACTGTGGCAAGTTGTTTTTAAAATTGACTGAACTCATCAAGATTCCAAAATGGTATAATAATCTAAGATAACTAGTCACAGTAAAAAAATATGCACACCATTTGTAAACCAAGAGTATTCCGGGCGTTGGATTGGGCGACTTGGTCCTATCTTATGGCCACCCCGATCACCCGACCTAAACCCCCTGGACTTTTTCTATTGGGGTTGTCTCAAAGACAAAATCTATGAAAAACCCATTACGACATTGGACGAGCTTCGGCAAAAAATTAGTCAGGCTGCGTCACATATCAATGCTAAAAGGTATGCACGAAAAATAAAACGCTCTTTTTTAAGGCGATGTCGTGCATGTATTAATGCCGGTGGAAAACAATTTGAACATTTACTGTAATGTTAATTATTAATAAATGAATGAGACTAAAACTCACTATTGTTTTATTTCAATATTTTTTTTAAATATTAAAACATTTCGGAACAGTACAATTTATTACTCACAACTTTGGTTCTTGATTCTAAATGGTATGATTTTTAGTTTGTTGCTAGTTATCATGAAGTATTATACCATTATGGAATCTTCATGAGCTGCGTCAATTTTAAAAACAACTTGCCGCAGTAGTGTCCATACTTTTTTTCTACATGACTGTGAGTCAAAGATTACGGAACGTAAAAATCTGTGAAAATTTAAGGAAAAAAATACATTTTGATTGTTTTTTGTGTAAATACTGTGGGCATTTTGGTGTTTTTAACAGTTGTAGCGAATATTAGTACTACTTAGGTATCCGATACCAAAAAAAGATTGAACATAATTGAGAAGTTGTGGTCGTGGTAGTTGAAAATATCATAAAAGGTGTAAATTTTCGAAAATTTCGATTTTATTTTATAATAAAAAAGATTAATAAGATATAATTTTTTTCTTATTTTTCCATAAGTACACATGAGCAGGTCTACCTCTTGGCGCCCGCGGCAGAAGAGAAGTATTTTGGCGATATGGCAATTTTAAATTATAAGAATAATATTTGAACACAAATGCAATAACAAATTGAAATTTTGCATTATATTATATTATATTATATACAAGAATTAAATACTGCTCATCTCAGGAAGAAGCGTTCGGAAAACAATTTTATAATTTTATAAAAAAAGATTACAACCGGAA